GAAGCGGAGTCCAGCCTGGTCACATGTCCTTCCGGACGCTCATTCGTCGGATCCTCCGGGCAAGCCGTTCTCAACCCCACCGCCTCAGCTCACTCTAACCCGGCCTCAGCGCACGCTAAGCCGGGGCTTCCCCTCACGCTAGGCCACTGTGTTTCGTTGTGAAAGTGAAACTACTTTGTTTGTTCTTCCAAAAGAGGACACGACTAGAAATCAGTGGTTAAGTTGTATTTACAACACTGTTCCAGAACACTTCAACCCAAATATTCAGATGCGTGCAGCGCATTTTATGGAGGACTGGTTACTGATGCTGGGAGAGTAACGTTAGACTAAAATGCCGGCTGTTCTGACTCACGTAAGTACGTTTTCATTTAAATGATTTGTCACTGATGATTCAGACGTGAGTTTTGGGCAGTGTAGAGTAGCGCTTGTTGTTTGTCATTTCTCCGATCACAAATGCAGACATGGTTTTATGTTTACGTGGTGCGATGCAACGCAACGTGTAAAAAGACAGTACAAGTCATTATAATCAGTAATTATGTCCCCACTGGATGCAACAAATGCCTCGTTTATAATGGGTTTTAATGTTTTTGTCTCGTCGCTCCGGCCGGACACGGCATCACAGTATGGTGAGGGGCGTAACATTTCCGTCTCACGCTTGAGGTATTCGGCCAATCACAACGCACTGGATAGCTGGCCAATCACAGCACACCTCGCTTTTCAGACCGATGAGCTTTGTAAAAATCGAGCGTTTCAGAAAGGCGGGGCATAGAGGAGAAACAATAATGTACAGTATGTGGAAAATAATGTGTTTTTTTTACTTTAAACCGCATAAACACATTTCATTACACCAAATAATATTCTTTTAGCAGCATCATATGACCCCTTTAATATAATAACTAGATATCATTGCATATAATTTTGTAGAAAAACAAAGTGTTGCACATTTTATTGGTGCAAAGGTGAGTAGTGGTGATATTTATTTTGTACAACATTTGCAACTGCTTTTCATCACTTAATTAGAAGCACCACAAATTAAACTGTGCCATGTTGTAGTAGAGACTACTGAACAGACATTTCGAAGTTGGTTTTAAAATGCAAAGTATTTAAAATAAAAATAAAGCTATGTAAACAAGTGTGTCCCATCAGGTGATGAAAAGTTCCACACACTTGTGGTCTTCATCCTCACTTGAACACTTGGACCAAATACAGGAGATACGTCATGCAACTCAGTAGTCAAGAGGTCAAGTGCAAAGACCGCGTCCCGTTCCGTTTAAAGGATTTAACTCTGTTATAAAGGCGATTCCTGATGGATTAATATGTCTGATGAAAGCTTCCCTCACCCATGAGTCATGCTCAAAACAACTTTCACAGTTATGTTTGGGAGGTGTTTCGCTTTTAACTAAAGAATGTAATAATACATTTATTCGAAACTCAATTTCTCCAAAAGGGAGATAACATTCAATGGAGGAAAACATGGTTATTACCATATAAGTACTGTATACCCAATAAAGTGAAAGAAGTGCATTTTTAAATTTTGCATAATATATACCCTTGTAATGCTTTCGTGTCGAAATGTTGCGATGTAGCTGATATATGCACCTTCTGTAAAAAAGAAAGTGAAGATATTTGTCATTAATTTTTCTCTTGTAATGTTTCATCACTTTTCTGGAAAGATTTGAGTTCCTATTGTTTTTCTAAAGTTAATATGAACCGTAATTTACGATAATTAAGGATGTCGTTTGCTTTTTTGAAAGCCAAAACAAAACTTTAGAATCTGCTAGAAAACTTTCTTATCCTTGTGGCAAAATTCTATTTTAACAAACAAAGGTTTCTTAAGAAAATACCTGCTTTTATAGCTTTCTGATGTGAAGTAGAACATTTAATTAAATCACTAAGAGTAATTAATAACAAAGAAATGTTTCTTTTTTGAAGAGATATGATGAGATCTTTCATTTACCGTGATTAGTACTTTTTTTTAATCCTCTTTTCTTTATTTGTTCTGTTCCTGCCTTTCTTTATGTTCATAAAAAAGCTATTTAAATGCATCTTTCTCTTTTAACACTCATATGTTCCATATGTTCAGATGACATTGGAGGTATTGTTGATACATTATGTGTAATGTATGCAAAGTCGTATTTCATTAATGTCATCTCTGAAAAAAAAAAAAAGTGCAAAGACCGCACGTGTGGTCTCGCTGCACTACAGTACCCAGAATCCCTCGCGCTGCGGGCTTCGGCAATCTTCGGCAATCTTCGGCTGTCTCCGCCCACAGGAGCGCGCGCCGCGGAATGCTGCTCTGATTCCGAACGGTTCCTCGGAGATGGAGCGAGGGCTGAGGCGCTGATATCTGCACTTTTATCCATGATATTCAACTCGAAAAGGACGTTCTGTTGACGCGGACCTGCCAAGAGCTTCCCCATCTTCCATATTCGTGCGGAATTAAAACTTTTACGGCTCGATTTCGTCAACTTTTTATTAGTTTTTTCCCCTCCGGGTGAAAATGCCGCAGCCCGCTCGCGCCGTGAGCTTCGTGCTGCTCGTGTTTCTCGTTACGGGGGTTACACCGATTAACGGAGGCTCGGAGCCGGTGCCGGAGCCGTGTCCGTCTGGGTGCTCGTGTGCGGGATATTTAGCGGACTGTAGTGGATTAAAACACGGCAGGATCGCGGAGAGGCTCCCCGCGCGGATCACGCGTCTGTGAGTGTTCTTTATTTATTTATTTATTTTACCTCAGATCCTTTGTGTGTCTTTTCACGATCAACACATTCGCTTTCGTAGATTCAGATGAAGCTAAATACGAGGAAAAAACATACAGCGCAGAAAATCACAACTGTGGGTACAGTTTATAAACGATTAAAGCGTTTAAAACAACAAAAACAAACACGACTGAATGTATAAATCTAAACGTTCTCCGTGTATAACTTACAGTGGTTGTAAAACACACAATGTTATCTTAGTGTGATTGATTTTGCTTTGTGTGTGTGTGTGTGTGTGTGTGTCTCTGTGT